ACCCTGTTGAGTAAACAGCACATTTTCTATTACCATTAATAACCGAGAGAACATGTGTAGACACCGAAATTTGGGTACCCGGAGTATTTTGTACCTTTATCTTTATTTCAATGAACTTGTCGGCGCAAGAATATCTAACTTAATCTAGGGCCAAACCGAAAGGAAATCGATACTCGACAAAGGGCCGGAATAATAGCCGGCGTTTTAGCGTTGTTTTTATTATTTTTCGGTAAGTTTTTCTCATTAGCGTTGAAAAAGCATACATATGTGAGCAGAATAGGCTTTTAATAGATCTTCCTGTAGGAGACGTGTGGGTACAAAGCCTAATTTAGCACTCATCAATTTTATACAACAATTTTTAATTATAAATTCAGTCAGAGATGAAATGAAAGTTATTTGAATAGTAATAAACGTAGTAAGGTCGACATATTTTTTAAAATAATTTTTGGTGGTTCCAAAATTAACTCGAGTAATACTTCGTCCAGGATTGCCACGCATTTCTGTTTTATGTTATTGTGAAACGAAATGCTAGAGATTATTTTCTAAAACGGGTGCTATCAAAACGAGCGAAGAACTAGACTCAGTAAAAAGCATCTTCAAAAAATGTTATTATTAAATGTTAGTTTGGCATATAAATCGTATATTTCATTTAATCACTCTAGTTTATTATCAGTTTCTTTGTTCTTTAAGTAGCTACTTCTGACCCATGTTTTGTTTTTGATTTTAGAATAAGTATTTTATTTTTACAAGCTTACCAATGTTATGAAATATTTTTTTAATAAACTAAATCATGATATATCATCACTATTTTTACTATCATCATTGCGCAATGATGATTTTTAATGAAAAATTTAAAAAGTAACATGTTCCTTTGTGAACCGCATTTTGAAACCAAAGTGAACAGGAACGTTGTAGTCTGTTACAGCTGCTTTAATATATCGATTAATGACAAAGTTGAAATATAATTTTCAAATCTTAGTATATTCGAGAAATAAGCTGAATTTAAGTAAAAATCACGTACTATTCACATATCCCCATTGAGAAATAACACAAATTTTGAATCATAATCATAATCTGTATAAACTAACATGCTGGCATGGTGCCATTTTTACGGACTCTAATATGGGGCTCCCGGTTATTATAAACGGTACGAGATGGATTATGGATCTTTAGCACAAAACCTGCTTGAGCAAATGCAATAGACCAGGCCTTTTTATTGTGACGATTAAAAATTTCCAAGTTCGTAGGCTCATCTAAAAACATCTCGTTGATTTTGAAGAGAAAGTCAGGATTCTGCTTTGATTTGCAAGATTATTATTATTATTACATGTTGTAATATTACATGTTGCAAATCGTAGTAAATTTGGAGCCTATCTGCTTTTTTCATTGATAAATAAACTTTCAACTTTTTATACACCACTGTGCTCCTCAGACATAATCATGGATTTTTGTTCTCAAAGCACTCTTGGCGAAATAGTGTTGAAAATTTTGATCAAATCGTTTTTGGACAATAAAACTTTGCATCAGTCATGTTTGAGTGGAAACCTATACTTTCATCAGTTTTCCAATTATAAAACCAAAAAGACATTTCAAACATTTTTTTCAATTGTTCTCTTCAAAAACTCAATAATCCACGAGAAACGTTGTTAATGGCATCTTTCATAAAAATCGAGATTTACAGGGTGGTCCTTGTAAATGCGTTATATGGTTACTGCAAATTGTAGATGTCAAAATAATAGGATTTACTTAAAACACTTCTTAGTAAAATATTGGGCTTTTAATGTTGGGAACTTCCAGCTTCAACTTATTTTTAAGGTATCTGTTAGAGGGCTACGCATGCTATGCTGTTTGGTTATTTTTTATTTTTGAATAAATGATAATAATATCGTATAATAATAAGCTCTCTTGTATCAGTAATGTTAGTCATCGTCATTTTTGAAAGGTATTCACATTATTTGGATTGAGAAATTCAAATAAGATTTTCACTTTGAACAACAAATGAGGATCATCAAGAAATGAGCTTTCAACATGAAAGTGTGTACTTCCTTCAGTAACAAAATTTTAAGTTTTTTTTTGTTTCTGCTTTACTTCGAGTCTTCAAATAATTTATTCTTCTTCTTCTTCATTCTTGATTTTAGGCGAATCGCCTGTTCAATTATCGTTCACTTGCGTGAGACTGTCTCTACATCGTTTCCTGGGGCGCCCAGCGTCTCTTCGTCCCAATGGCAATACTCTCAAGTCTGCGGTGGTCCATCCTGCTTATGTGCTCATTCCATTCCTTCTTCCTGTTTGCTACCCATTCATTGATGTTCTTGACATAACAGGCTGTTTTGATATCCTCGCTTCTCTTTCTATCCAGCAGTGTATTTCCGGTGATTATACGGTGTATTTTCATCTCAGCTGTCTCTGGGAGTCTTGGTTTTCGCTGTTTCTGGCCTGGTTTCTGCGGTATATGTCATCACCGGCTTCATGAAGGTTTTGTAGATCCTCGATTTAGTGTCTTTAGTGTCCATTCCCATACTCTTATTGCACCATATGGCATTCATGCCCGGTTTCCAAACTCCAACATATCGGTTACATAAGCTTATGAGTCTCATAAACTACCAAAATCACGTCTGTTGGGTTTCTCAACGTCTGTTTAAAGCTTATTGGTTCCATAAGTTATCGAATAGATATCTACTCGAAGATGGATGGATTTCGGCTTCATAACGTCTGACGCAAGCGTGTAGGGTTTGTTGTCATTTTTACAACAGAGCGATTCTAACCTAACATAACCTATTCTTATTACATAACAGCATAACAGCATTGCATTTATTTTGTTTAACGTATAAAAATTTATTATCATTATGTAAAATGGATAATTCGAGTTCATCTTCTGATGATGAAATTATTGAACTTCTAAGTTATATTGAACGGCCAAGACGGTATGTTGAACGAGAGGACCAAATGAACAAATATGGATATTCTGAATTTCGCGGCAGGTTTCGTTTAACGAAACACTGTTTCAGTGTATTATTGGACCTTATTGGGG